CCCATTGGACATGCTGGGGGTGGAAGGCATGATGAAATCTGTGAGACAGATTAGTGTGCTCTCCCCTGGAGAGCTCCTCCTCTGGGGTGATAAAAGCATTCAGACAGTGCTAGAGGAAGACTGAAGCTATGAATATTGAAAGCTTCCTCAAGAAGATGACCTTGAATGTTTATGGGATGCTGGCAGATGGAGGAAGGAGAGCAAGTACAGACTGCCAGGGAGTGGTAGGTAGCATGTGGGCGGTGCAGGCAATGGTGAAATTCTGCAGCTTGGAATGCTTTGATTGTGGTCTGAGCCTTTGGTTTAAGCTTGATAGGCTGGACTAGGAAGGGGGATGGAGGTGTGCGGTAGTAAAGCTCTGAGGTTAATCTGGAATTAGATTTAGGAGGGGTCTGGGCTAGGACGGGTGGCAGGGCAGGTTTAGTTTGGGTCAGACAGCTCCCAATTCTTGCGATTGCCCTCATGGTCTTTCCTGCTACCCACAGGCAACAGGACCTGTATCGAATCCTTAAGGCCTACACTATCTACCGGCCCGACGAGGGCTACTGCCAGGCCCAGGCCCCAGTGGCCGCAGTGCTGCTCATGCACATGCCTGCTGAGGTCAGCATACTCTGGTTCTGGTTGGGGAGGAGATGGGAGGATCTTGGCCTACAGTGGTGATGGGGGAGCTTTCTGCTTTGTTGCTCAGGCCCCATCCCTTCCTCCTTGTTCTTACCCTTCTCAGCAAGCCTTTTGGTGCCTGGTGCAGATCTGCGACAAGTATCTCCCTGGTTACTACAGTGCAGGGCTGGTGAGTGTCCGGAGGGTTGGTATAATAGGGCTGTGACTGTTCCCCAAGGCTGCAGGGAGGTCCTTGTCCTGCCCCACCCTCTGCCCTTTTGTCCCTTTGCTCTGGGCCTGTCCCACTGAGGTGAAGATCCCCTGCTTGATCTAGTTCTACATCAAGGGGCCACAGCAGGCCTTTTCTCATGGCTCACCTCACCTCTAGGAGGCCATTCAGCTGGATGGAGAAATCTTTTTTGCACTGTTGCGCCGGGCCTCCCCACTGGCACACCGGCACCTGCGGCGGCAGCGCATTGACCCTGTGCTCTACATGACAGAATGGTTTATGTGCATCTTTGCCCGCACCCTGCCCTGGGCTTCGGTGCTGCGTGTCTGGGATATGTTCTTCTGTGAAGGTATACCTGTAGCAATTCAGGCCATGAGGGGGCTGGGGTTTTCACGCTGCCTGCCAGGTGGTGGTCTGCTGATAGAAGGTGCTTGTTGGGGTCTGGGGGCTGGAAACTGAGGCCTGGTCTTGGCTCTGCCACCAACCCAGAGCCTGTCCTCCCTCCTAGGAACCTTAAACCCGTGGCAGCTCATTTCCCTTCTTAAGGCCTCAGTTTCCTCATCTGTAAGGTTGGCAGTGGACAAGGATGGGAGCTGTGAGTCCCTCTTAAATTGGACAGGCTGAGATCCCAGGCATGGTCACTCGTGCTGTCTTTTATCTGATAATGCAGGCGTAAAGATCATTTTCCGTGTGGCCCTGGTGTTGCTGAAGCACACACTGGGCTCAGTGGAGAAGCTGCGCTCCTGCCAGGGCATGTATGAAACCATGGAGCAGCTGCGCAACCTGCCCCAGCAGTGCATGCAGGAGGACTTCCTGGTGCATGAGGTAGGCCCTGGCCTTGGCAAACTCCACACCTACTTCAAGTCATCCCCACCTCATCTGCCCTCTGGTACCTATTTCTTCTCCATCTAGGTGACTAACCTCCCAGTGACAGAAGCACTGATTGAGCGAGAGAACACGGCCCAGCTCAAGAAGTGGAGGGAGACCCGGGGGGAACTACAGTATCGGCCCTCACGGAGACTGCACGGCTCCCGGGCCATCCATGAGGAACGCCGGCGACAGCAGCCACCTCTTGGCCCCTCCTCTAGCCTTCTTAGCCTCTCTAGCCTCAAGAGCCGAGGCTCCCTAGCAGCTGGAGGGGCCCCATCTCCACCCCTTCCTTCCCACAGGGCCACTGCTGGGCCTGTCCCAGGGCCTGTGGTCACTGCTGAGGGACTGCATCCATCCCTTCCTTCACCTACTGGTAACAGCACCCCACTAGGTCCCGGCAAGGAGACCCGGAAGCAGGAGAAGGAACGGCAGAAACAGGAAAAGGAACGTGAGAAGGAGCGACAGAAACAGGAGAAAGAGCGGGAGAAGCGGGAGAAGGAGCGGCAGAAGTGGGAAAAGGAGCAGGAGAAGGAACGACAGAAGCAGGAGAAGGAGCAGCAGAAGCAGGAGAAGAAGGCCCAAGGCAGGAAGCTTTCGCTGCGTCGAAAGGCAGATGGGCCCCCACCCCCCCAGGATGGTGGGGATAGGTCCTCAGCCTCTGAGGCCCGGCAGGATGCTTATTTCTGACCTCTACCCTGGGCCTGGACTTCATGGCCCCCCTCTTTTTCCTTCAGCCAAGAGCAGGCCCCTCAGCAGGCTGTCCCTCTTTCTGAGGAAAGTGGCTTGATTCCCGTCTCCTTGCCAGCTGCAGTCCCTACACAGCCAGGACAGTCAGAGCGCATGGGGCAGCTGCATTTCTCTGAGGCAGCTGTTGAACAAGTTTGGAGTTAGGCCCAGCTGGGGTCTGTCACTCCTGCCCCAGTTCCCTTTGAAGTCCCCAGGTGCTGTCCTGATTGGCCTTTTGTCACCACAGGGTGACTTGGCAATGGGAATCAGCAGTTTTCAGATTCTTACACTCCAGTTGCTCCTGTTACCCATGAAGTGGAGCTGGGTTTTGTTTTTGTTTTTTCTCTTCAGTCCTGCCTGCCTCCCCCAGTTCCTGGCTGGGGGCCAAGGCCCTCCTTGCTTGACTTCTGGATATTTCTGTTGTAATTATGTACAAAGGACCTGGTTGGCCCAGGGTAGGGGTGTTCGTTCTATCTTCTGTCCGTTCTCTTTCCACAATGTTCTTGCACTCTAGTTTATTTAAGGGGACATGCACTGGAACAGGAAATGTCCCCCATTTCCTCACCGACCACCCTCCTGCTCTCCTTATTGACCTACCTTCCTCTATTCTGAGGCCTCCCTGGCTTTGCCTCATCAGGACTCCCATGTTTCATCTTGTTCCCTTCTAAGCCTCCAGCCCCCTATCTGGGAAAAGGGTCTTTTTTTTTTTTTTTTTTTTTGAGTTCCAGGGGGTGGAACCCAATGTTTACATTCTCTTCTGTATCTGCCCCCACCCCGTGCAGCGCTTTGAGAAACCAGAAAAGAACCCACTATTGTACCTGGGACTGTCTCCTGCCTTGTTATTTCATGAGGGGGGTTGGAATAAGGACTATAGAGCGAGGGAGGGTGCCATGAGGGAGCCAGATCTATCAAAGCAGTGGGCTGGTTTTGACAGGTATCTCTTGGCCTTTGGTTCCATCTTAATTGTTCATCAACAAACGGTGGTTGAGCTCCTGCTCCACCTTTGCTTGGGATCTGCTGCCTACATTATCACTGGCTTCCTGAAACTCTTCTGTGTATCATCTGCAGCGTCTGAATCTCCTTCCCAAAGTACTCATGGAAACTGGAGAGGGACGGAGGGTGGCTAGAAAGCCACAGTCCGGGGATGGGGTGAGCTGGGCTCTTGGACAGCTACCTGGCATAGCTGCTGGTACTGGGCCTCTTGCGGTGGGGTGGGTGGGTAGTAGCGCAGCCAGCTGATTCCAGAGTCCACAGCTAAACTCCCAGATCCTGGTTTTCTGCTACCAGCTTGTAGGCCCACTGCCTTGGGGATCAGAATGGTAAAGGAATAGGGTTTTGTGGCCCCAAGGCATGGCTCCACCTGGCAGCCCTCCAAAAGGATGAGGCCTAAGGTGTGCGGTCTGCCTGCTCCTTGTAGGAGAGGAGGGTCCCTGGGGAGGATGAATCAGTGGTACTGGTAGCTGGTAATTAGGGCGCAGCTCTTTCCCTTAGCAAGATGCCCTCCTGGTTTGGAACCAGTGTTCTGTACCCACAGAAGAAAATGAGCATGGACTTTGAATGCAGTTTCATGTTAGTACAATCTAGAGGAAACACTGAGGGCAGGAGAGAGGGGTGGTCCATCTTTACCCTGGCGACCCCCCCCCCATGTGGATCTCCTTAAGTTCCAGTAGGCTCTCACTGGGTACAGCCTTAGCCTAGTGGGTTTCAGACTTGGAGAGTCCTAAAGAGGTAGCAGTGCTGTCCCCACAATCCTGAGAACCACTTCTCCCACTTCCCACTCCAGCTCAGCCTCTTAGGCCAGACTACAGAACCTGGGCAGGCGCCACTAGGCTGGGGCCCTGCTTGCTAAGAGAGGGGCTTTATTCTGCAGCTGTGGTTAGAAAGGCTCTGGTGCCCTTCTCCAGGCCAACTGAAATCAGGGCACAAGGGGCTCTGGCCTGGGTACTGGGCACTGGGTGCCACTGCAGCCTCCCCTTTGATGGCCCTTTCCACCTCAGAAATCAGGAACTCGCTCTGGGGTACAGGGGTAGGGTAAATGACTTCCCCTAGGTCCTAAAGGGAGCTGGGTTCGTAAGTGCTCCGAAGCCCTCAGGGGGCCACCAGACCGACAGTCAGGAGAGCCCGGCCTGCCCTCTGGGAGAAGGGCGAGACTGTACCTCGGACTATGAGAGGGCAGACGACTGGGCGCTGAGAGTGGGAAAATAGGACTTCCAATAAGATGGAGGGGCGCAGAGCCCCTTGGGGAAAGGTGACGCAACCTTGGGAAGGGCAACTAGGGCAGGAGCCCACTGGCCCTACTCGGATTTTGCTCTCCACCATGACCCTGGGCGTCTCTTAAAAGTAGAGTGTGCTCCACTTTCTCCCCAGAGATTATTGTGAGAGGGAATCAAAACCACTCCGTGCCATCCCTCCCTCCTCCGATGAGGGTCCAAATGTTTACTTATCCCCTCTTCTCGCCCTAGTCACTCACGTCACTCCTGGGAAGGGACAGGGGTGTTTTCCCAGGATTATCACAGACTCCCGCCCGCTCCTTCAGAAAGTCCTCTGAGAGTGAAGCCACTTCCGGCCTTTCCTGGCGCTTTCCGCAGTTCCCTTCCGGTGATGGCGGCCTTGTGCCCCGGATGTAACCCTGGTAAAAGCAGCTCCTCTTTCCTTTTGCAGCTTTTCCTGGGTTCTTAGGTGAGCGTGCGCCAGTGGGACTGCTCGAATCTCTGTGGGTCTGTCGCTTTCTATAGTTTGTACACATAGCCCGGGACAGTTGGGGGTCACCCGCGGAGTTGGGAGTGCAGGCCCAGGGAGGAGCAGGGCGGCCAGGACGGGAAGTTCTGGGTCCGCGGGGGTCTCATGGGGTCTGAGGGAGCTGGGGGTGGAGCAGCAGGTATCAGCCCACGGACCTAGTGGCCCCAGGACTTCGGGGGCTGGAAATGGGAGTGGTCATTGGGGGAAGCCCGTCTCCTTTTGTCAAGGGTGGGGGTGCCTATGGGAGCTCTTCTGCGCATCCACTTCTCAGACCCTGCTCCAGTAACCTGTGGATGCCTAATCAGGCCCCGGGGGCCTCTTGGCTCCCAACTCCTCTTTCGGTCCCTTATTCTGTGTTCCTTCCCCTCACAAACTGGATCTAGTATGTACCTGGGGAAATGTTTGTTGAGCTGGGGGCCCTCTCGCGGTGAGTATCCTTCTCGCCCAGTTCCCTTAGTCTGCACCCTTTTTCTCAGCCTAGTTTGGGGAAGACCCTTCTGTCCAGTCATGCCAAAGAGGAAAGTGACCTTCCAAGGCGTGGGAAATGAAGATGATGAGGATGAAATCAGTGTCCCCACGAAGAAGGTGAGGAGGCCAGACTCCTACATTCTGGGAAGGAGTGAGGGGGAGAAAAAAGGAACTAGAAGCCAGAAGAGGGAAAAAGCTTTGAGAACAAAGAAAGGGTAGAAAGGGCTGGTTTTCCATGTTCTCTGAGAAATAGGTTTGGAGGATTTTCAGTTTGAGTCCACATCTTAGAGCATTTTGAGGAATAGTGTGGGTACTAAGAAAAAAAAATTAATACTTTACATTTCACCTAAGTTCTTCTAGCTGAGCCAGTAGTCAAATCAGTAGAGACAAATTAATAGAGGAAAATCAAATTTTAAAACATGTTTGTGGGAAATTCACATAAGTATGAAAATTCCAAGGACTGTGAGGCAACATTAGGTTTATGTGACATTTTGGACAAAGGAGTAAAGGTGGGGAATAGGGTCTTAGATTTCAGAAGTGAAAATCAGCAATTTACAGTTGAGGAAGAGCAGAACATACATGGCAGGCAAATTCTTACTAGGCGACCCAAGAAACAATGAGACAGAAGGGATATATATCTAAAAGCCTCTTGCGTAAAGTCCTTTAATTTACCATACTTAGACTGAGGTGAACATCCTAAGATTTCCTTCCAATAGTAGATTTTTTTGTCTGAATCTCTTGGGCAGGAAAGGGGGGGTGGGTCAAAGGTTCTTTCTGAGTCTTGTTTCTTTTACTTATTTTTATTTTTTATTTATTCACTTACAGAGAAAGGGAAAGGGAGGGAGAAAGAGGGAGAGGAACATCAGTGTGTGAGAGATACATCAGTCAGTTGCCTCTCACAAGCTCCCAACCAGCCCCGCCACCCGGGCATGTGCCCTGACTGGGAATTGAACTGGCGACCTTTCAGTTTGCAGGCTGGCACTCAATCTATTGAGCCTCACCAGCCAGAGAAAGTCTTGTTTCTTAATAAACAGCTTAAAATTAATATTCCAAAAAGGCAGCTTCAGGGTGGCAAAACTTGGTTCCCTTCAGTAAACAGTAACCTGCATCTGTGGACTGTCTGGCTCCTGCTCACAGCTGGTGGACCCTGTGGCTGGGGCAGGAGGTCCTGGAAGCCGTTTCAAAGGCAAACATTCTTTGGACAGCGATGAGGATGATGATGATGAGGGGTCCAGCAAATATGACATCCTGGCTTCAGAGGATGTGGAAGGTGAGCTATACCTAAGAGTTGACTCTACTGGGGGAACAGACAGGTTTCTGGGACTGTGGGCAAAGGAGGCGCCTTTCTTTTTTTATTTCATTTTTTTTGGCATGCCTAGCATGGATGCATGTGTCTTTGGTGCAGGTCAGGAAGCAGCCACACTCCCCAGTGAAGGAGGTGTGCGTATTACACCCTTCAACCTACAGGAAGAGATGGAAGAAGGCCACTTTGATGCAGATGGCAACTACTTCCTGAACCGGGATGCTCAGATCCGAGACAGCTGGCTGGACAACATTGACTGGGTATTGCTCAGGGGCTGTCTTGGCTGGGGCCTGGAGGCGGCAAGTGCTTGGGCCCTGCTGATAGTTTGTAGGAAATAACCCCTGAATTTTCATATTACAGGTGAAGATCAGGGAGCGGCCACCTGATCAGCACTCACGGTCAGACTCAGAGGAGGAGGACAGCCTGGGCCAGACACCAATGAGTGCCCAAGCCCTCCTTGAGGGCCTTCTGGAACTCCTGTTGCCAAGAGAGACAGTGGCTGGGGCACTGAGGCGTCTGGGGGCCAGAGGAGGGGGCAAAGGAGGTAGCAAGGGACCTGGACGGCCCAGTTCCCCCCAGCGCTTGGACCGCCTGTCCGGCTTGGCTGACCAGATGGTGGCTCGGGGCAACCTTGGCGTTTATCAGGAGACAAGAGAACGGTTGGCCATGCAGCTGAAGGGGTTGGGGCGCCGGACCCAGGGACCCTCTGACCCTATACCCCAGCCTTCTCTGGACATGTTTGCTGAGGAAGTAGCAAAGGGAGAATTGGAGACCCCAACCCCTGTCCAGAGAGGAGGTAAGATTTAAGGGCAGAGGAGGGGTGTTGTGTTGTGGGCAGGAGCAGGACACTTGAGGCCCAAATGGCTTTTCTTGTTATTTTAGAAGCAGAGTTGCCAGGAGATGGTCTGGAGGATGTGATGTGGGAATATAAGTGGGAGAACACAGGGGATGCTGAGCTATACGGGCCCTTCACCAGCACCCAGATGCAGGTAAGCCCCTTTCTGCCTCTTTTCTTTCCTCCCAGCCCTTACCCCATCAGTCCTCCTCCAGTTCTGCCCTCTCTTCCTGCAGACCTGGGTGAATGAAGGCTACTTCCCTGATGGTGTTTACTGCCGGAAGCTGGATCCCCCTGGTGGACAGTTCTACAACTCCAAACGTATTGACTTTGACCTCTACACCTGAGACTTCTGAGGGCCAATTTGATGGCTCCTTCTTGTCTGGACTCTCTGGAGGGAGCCCCAGCTGCCTCTGGCAGTAAGGATATTGGGGGCCACTTTTCAGTCAGCTTTCCTTTCCCAATAAAAGCCTTTAGTTGTGTATTAGGTCCTTGGCTGTGCTGATGGCCAGAAGCCAGGGACCTCCTCAGCCCCTTTGGATTTGCCTCTGTCCTTGAGTGTTTCCTTATGAAGTTCCTCTTTGGGAGTCTCTGGTCCTTTGAACCATCTCATCTTTGTTTACCACTGCTAGGGGCAGAGCCACGGCTGCTCACCATCTAAAAATCCTTTCAGTCAAACCTCATTCTCCAGTACTGGGGGTTCCTGTTTTGCTATTCTTAAGTCTTTGGCTTTTAGGGCCTTTGAGTATCTGTTTTTGCAGCCAGTACAGCATAGAGCCCCAGAAGTGGAGATTTTAGGCTTTGAAGGCTGGGGCATCTGTTGAATGTGAGCCAGAAGCTTGATATTCACTGTCTCCCCACTGTCTCGGGCTCTTTCGGTGAAGTGAAGACTCGGCATTGGTACTTGAAGGACCGACCAATCAAGGCCATCTGGGGCAACTATGCATTGAACAGGCACTAAGAAGGGTATTCCCTCACTGGAGGTTACACAGTGAATCAGAGGGCTGGCCCAGACAGACCCAATGGGCTCCTTTTCCAGGCCTTTCTTGGTACTGGGTCTTTTCTGCCTGGTGTTTGAGGCCCTAAAGCTTACATTTCCTGGGCTCTCACTGTGTGCCTAGCACAGGGCTAGTGCTTTGAGAAAACTGAGGTAACTGGGCTGGTCTCCTCCCAGGAATTCAGCTGGGGCCGGGGTGAGCGAGTGGTGAGGAGGCAGGCAGACAGGTATGATTGTATAGCCTGGAGCTGACACTACCACCACATGCTAGTGCTGCCTTAGGCCTCTTCTTAACTTGCACCAAGTTAGGTGGTTCCTCCATTTTTCCACATTGGGTCTCCATTGGAATCGCACGAGGAGCTGTAAAATACTCCTTAGAGAAACTGAATGATTGGTCTAGGTAGTGCCCACGAGGTTGGGTCTTATAAAAACCCCCAGGTGTTTGCAATGTGTGGCCAGGTGGAGAGCCATAGGGCCTGACTTCCATGACTATGTTTATACATGGGGAGGGGCCAGTTCCTAGATCCTGCCGTTGCAGCATTGCTGCTCGTGTGTGGTCAGGGCTCTGGTGGAGTTTGTCATTTAAAGGAGAGCTGAGCTCCAGAGCCGAGGGACACCTGAGAGCCCCAGGGTGCACGGAACCAGGCCAGGAACTAGAGAAGATGGGTGGAAAGGGTGGGATTACCTGATGTTCTAGTGAGGACTCCAACTTCTGTAATAGACCCACTCTAGTGCTAAATGAGACCTAGTTTTCATTGACTCCAAGATGCCTTTGGTTGTAAGGTTTACTTTGTGTTGTTATGAAACAAAACCCTACCTATATGTCATCGATTAAAAGGAGCATCCTGAGTTCAGAAACGTTCAGAAGTAAAAAGCAGTATCTTAACACCAATGAAATAGAGTGTTCACCTTTATATTCCCCAGTGACTAAATCATGGGGGCCACTTAGTGTTTGGTGAGTAAATGGAAGCCAAGGGACAGCTCCCCTGGATGTCCCACAGGCACCTTGGACCCCACCTATCCAGAGCTGACCTCTCCTTCCCCTCACAGCCTGTTCCCGTGTTCACCTCCCTGATGACACTGTGTGGGCAGAATAATGGCCCTCCAAAGATGTCCACATCTTCAACCTCAGAACCCATGAATATGTGATCTTACATGGCAAATGGGTTTTGGGGTGGTTTTGGGGGTTTTTTTGCAGAAATTATTAATGATTTTGAGATAGGGAAATCATCATGGGTGGGCCCAATGTAATCACAAGGGTCCTATAAAGTGAAAGAGGGAATCAGGAGGGTCAGAGAGGCAGGTGAAGATGTTACACTGTTGCTGGCTTTGAAGATGGAAAAGCCATGTGCCAAGGAATACAGTGGCCTGAGGAGCAAGAAAAGGCAAGAAAAATGGATTTTACCCTGCCTCCACAAAGAAATGCAGCCATATTGATAGGCCTTTAGCCCAGTGAAAGTTATTTTGGACTTTTGATGGCTAGCTCTCTAAGATAATAAAATGTGTTGTTTTGGTTTTAGCCATCAAGTTTGTGGTCATTTCTTACAGCCTCAATAGGAACTAACCCACACCCCATCCAGCTGAATGCCTTTCCCCTCTCATGAATGTTGCTAAGTTCTCTGCGGCCATGTCTCTTCTAAGCCCCTATCAACACATTACTCCCTTGCTTTTTTTTTTTAACCGTAAGTTTTTAAATAAGATTTTTATAGGTAGTTTTGTAGATTTACAAAAAATTTACAATAGTACAGAGGGTACTCAGTTTCCTCTATTAACATCTTTCAGAGGCATATTTGTTACAACTAACAAACCAACATTACTATTTTTAACAATTTTTGAGATATCCACCCATTTAAAGTGTACAATGCAGTGGTTTTTAGTCTGTTCACAGTGTTGCACAATTATCCCTAAAGTCTAATTTTAGAACATTTTTGCATGCCATAAGAGCAGTTAACACCCATTAACAGTTCCCCTCACTCCTCGGTGCCCCTGACCCTCCATCCTTTGGCAACCACTAATTTTCTTCCTCTTTGTGTAGATTTGTCTATTCTGGACATTTCATATAAATGGAGGCATAATACATGGTCTTTCGTGTTTTATGTGTCTGCTTCTTGCACTTAGCGTATTTTCAAGACTAACATTACAGTACTTTATTTTTTATTGTTGAATAATACTTCATTGTATGGATGTATGGTAATTACTACTACTAACTAAACTTCACACTTTATTTGGATTTTAATTCTAATTTTTCCCTAATGTCCGTTACCTGTTTCAAAATCCCTTCTAGAATACCACATTACATTTAGTTGTCATGCCTCTTTAGCTTCCTCTGCTCTGACAGTTCCTCAGACTTGTTTTTGCTGACCTTGAGAGTTTTGAGGAGTGCTGGTTAGGTATTTTGTAATATATTCCTAAATTTTGGGCTTGTCTTGTGTTTTTCTCATGATTAGATTTGGGTTATGGGTTTTGGGGAGGAAGAACCTGGGGATGAAGTTCCCTATCTTTTACTGAAAACCTTTAATGATTCCACATAGCCCTCAGGGTAAAGTTCACAAGCCTGAAGCTTTCTAAGAGGTCTTCTGTGGCCTGGCTGGAAACAGCAGCTCCAGTTCCATGTCTGCCTTTGTTTCCCTTGTCCCTTCTCTTCCCTCTACTCCAGGCTCCAGCCTGCTCCTACAACAGAGCAGGTAATTCCATTTCTCCAGGCTGAGCCAGTGATGCATTTCTCTTGTATCTGGGAAAAAGCAATTAACATATCAGTTGTGACTTAGCGCTAGGCCTCCTTTTCTTAAAGGCCTCCTAACCCCCACTCCTCACTTCCCTTGTGGCTCACTATTCTACTGTTTCCAGCAGCATGGATGCCTGACACAGCACCTAGTGCAGTTTCACCTGCTCTGTCTCCACCAGTGAGCCTGAGACAGGGGATCAGTGGTGATGAATGCATAGGGAGTGAGCCAGTTCTTTCCTGGTTCTGTGTGTCAGGGGGTCGACTCCCTTTTGAGCCAGGTCAGAGAGTGGGGGCTTGTGGGGCTGTTTGTCTTTGCCTCCCCCAAAAGGATGAGGTGTGACCTGGGTGTGTGGTGTACAGGTGCCTAGACTCTTTCACCTGCCATAATATTTTCAAGGTTCACCCATGTGGCAGCATGTGTTACTACTCCTTTTCTTTTTAAAGCTGAATACTATTCTATTGTATAGATATACTACATTTTGTTTACCCATTCATCAGTTGATGGACATGTAGGTTGTTTCTGCTTTGGGGCAGTTATAAATAATGCGTTGTGAAGAAGTTTTTGCACGTGTATAAATGTTTATGTTTTCAATTCTTTTGGGTATATACCTAAGAGTGGACTTGTTGGATCATACGGTTATGGCCATGTGGTTAAAAACATTAGTATTTTTGCCCTGATATGAAAGATTGCCAGTTCAGTTCTCAGGGCACATGCCTGGGTTGTGGGTTCAGTCCCTGTCTGGGAGGCAACTGATCAATGTTTCTCTCACATTGATGCGTCTCTCCCTCTCTTCCGCCCTCCCTTCCCCTCTCTCTAAAAATAAATAAAAATTAAAAATAAAATAAAATGTAGTATTCTGAGGAACAGCCGAACTTTTTCAAAGTGGCTGCACCATTACATGTTGCCATCTGCAGTGTATGAGGATTAAACATTGTGCCTTTTTTTCCTTTTACTTAAATTTATTTATTGAAAACACAGTAGATAGGATGCCAGTACCACCTGTCATAAATAAAAGGTAGCCGATAAAAATATACCATTAAAACAAAACAGGGCTATAAAAGTCTGGAAACTTTTTCCACCTGCCCTAAGCCCAAGACCTGTTCCCTAGAAACAGGGGAAGACAGCACAGGTTCCAGAGGCACAAGAACATATTAGCACCCAACTTGAGACTGTCTTCTTGGCATAAAAGGATTTTGGAAGAGAATGGAAAGGGAATCCCTTTTTTGGGGGGGGAGGGGCTTAGTGCTTAACGCAGGCCCAATTCTACCTAAAAACATCTCAACGGAATGCAGGTGTGCACCCCATACATTTGGAACGCTGTATTAGCGACTCCCTCTGCATCAGGCTTAATACAGCAGGGAGACAATGCTTTCCGAGCACACCTTCAAGGTACCACTAGATCCCTTCCCCATGTGCCTGCTTTAACACCAAGGCCTAGCAACTACCTCTGCCCTGCACCAGGCTGCTCCCACCCCTGCCTCTTGTAGCAGAGGTTCCTGTTGATTCGGGACATCAGGTAAACGAGTCCTGCCAGCAGAAGTCCACGCATGCTGAGCAGCATGAGCAGGGAGAGGAGCAGGATGGAGGTCGTAGTGTGGTTGGTTGCCAAGATGCCACTGCGGAAAGCCCATGTTCACCAGCTGCCGTTTGAGGTCTGTGGGGGGCCACTTTGAGTGGTACTGGAAACTAGCCCCATGCAAGCTGGGGCCTGGGAAAGGACCTGTAAGTCTTGGCCGGAACACCGGTAATGCCAGAGGCAAGCAAGACCCGATAATAATTCTGGGGAAATCAGAGTCAGAAGTAAATTACACTCCTTGAAACATGCTCTGTTTCTCCCTCAAGCTCTGTTAACCAGCTCAAGGCTGGGAAAGAAATTTATAAAACTCCTGGACCCAAATCCCACCTGGCACCATAATGTTTGCTCAATTCTGTCCCTAAGCAGTTCGGTGTATTCCTGCCATTATCATCTTTAAATAACATCTATTCTCTGTAAGCGTAAACTACTGATATAATTAGATTACCTATATATTCCTGCTTCCTATCCCCCACCTGCAACCCTCTCAAAAAAAGCCATTGAGCACAGGGGCTCAGGGCATTCTCCACTAGAGGGAATCACCTTCCCCTTTCCTTGACAGACAGTTGGTATCTAGAATGACTAATTTCATCCTCGGTGAATCCAAGGACTCAGTGGGACTGAGTCCCCCACAGAAGTCAGCAAAGGGGGACTGAGCAGGACCCAGCTTGCCCACCCCCTTTGGAAGGCCAGGAACCCTAGGGGGGCACCATGGCCCCTACTGAGAAAGTTCTGTCGAGGGATGCTACTTCGTGGCAGAAGAGTAGTCCTCCTGCAGGGCCGTCGTCCTGGGCGATTTCCCCATTGGCTAAGATCCGCACCGTCCTCCCAAGAGCCCTGGGTCCCTTTCCTCAGACCACAGAAGGGCTGAAGGGGCAGTTCCCAGGCCTCAGTGGCTTCCAGTTGCTGCGGCTCCTCGGTGATTTCCTAAACATTGTGTCTCAAATGCTTGTTAGAATAGCTGAGGATCAATGACAGCTTAAACTAGATCCCCAAATATGTAAACTCGATAGCAGTGCCTTGGTTCAGAGGGTTGTGGGGACACGTACCAGTTAATTCCAGCAGGAAACAGAATCCAACTCAGATGGTTCTAGAGCAGTGCTATCCAACAGAACCTTCTGTAATGATTGCAATTTCTGCACTAGTTAAATTCTCTAAATATCTTAAATTCCAGCCATGGGTCAAATTAGATTGATAGAATCTTACACAGACTACTTACTATAAAGGAGTACAATAAGATCTGAATTACGACCTGGAGTATTTTTTTGTTTGTTTGTGTGTTTTGATTTTGAGAGTACGTTGATGAAAGCCGGGGACAGTGAAGGGCTTAGGATAGAAGAAGCAACAGGAGAAAGCCTAGGGGGGGCTGCTTTGGCTTTCTAGGAACATTATGGGAAAGAAGTGAGTCAAGGCGGGGCTGCTGTCAGCTCACTGGAAAATCAGAGAAAGGGGGACCTTGGGGACAGGTTCAGGGGTTTAGCTGGAACGAGCTGCTGCTGCCTATTGCTCCCCTGGTTGCAAGTCTTGTGAGGACCCTTGGAGTTTAGTAGATGCCCACCTGTAGGGGAAGGAGAGGGAGATGGAAAAGGCATGGGCAT